TCGGATATCTAGTGAGCAGGAACGCATCAAACATTCCCACTGTTTATTACAGATCTGATGATTTTGAAAGACAGCATCAGTGCTTCTATAAATCCACATCCATCAGAGGCAGCGTCACACATTTAGATCATTTTGAACAGCTGCCTCAAAGCTATGTCACCTCTTAGTGAACAAACAACACTCCAATCAACACTTGTCATCTCCTGTCACTGAAAAATCGTCTCCGATTCTTGACAAATGGCTTCGAAGCTGTTAGTGCCTTGCTTTAGGGCACTTGGCTGGCTGGTGGATTTTGTTATAATTGATGATGTGATGTTATCTTTCATTTGGTATTCCTATTTGTTGTTTTAATTGTTTTGTAAGTACGGTGTCATACAAAGAGGCACCGTATTCAAAAAAAACCTGCAAAGAGAGAGGGCAACCTTTGCCATCTGTATGAGACGCACCAAGCTTTCAACCAACTCCAATGTAAACAATCCGCATTATTATTAGACGCTCAGTGCAACTGCCGTTGTATAAGGTGTGTGGCAGTCTGCTTAGGGCAGACGGGAGGGGAGGATGGATAGATGAACATATTTTAACGTAGTTTACTTACGCAACTTCCTTATTTTATTAACACCAGTTACGTAAAGTAGTTGTTTGACGTAACAAATGCACTTAATTTAACCCAAACCACAATCTTTTCCTTAGCCTTACCAAGTGCTTTTGTTACCAACTAGACCTAAAAACTAAGTAAACCTATTTGGAAGTTTATTTTGAAAAGACACTGTATGCATGTAACAATGACAACGTTGACATGTTTGGGATATTTGTCGTTTGTGAGTCATAAAGTTACTAAGGCCAAATTAACCGCTAGATGCAAAATGAGCTCACATTTTGTTTTTCAACTTTCAGATATTATTGCAGATATTTGCAGTTAGCCTTTTGATTATTCATAGCCTACCAATTAACATAGTGGTACATCATATCTGGTCATGAAATCAGAATGGTGGAACTTAAAAAACAAAAACAGAACAAAAAATATATGGTATGATCAGTTCATCAAATAGTCATTCCCGTTGTATGACTGTGCAACTTGCAGCATTGTGTTTTCTGGATTTGTGATTTCTCTATTTGGTTGTGCTTTTGACACTTTGCAGCACGTTTCCTGAATGCTGGGAGGATCGGATTTTCTAGATTAGGCTAACCTCAACAAGCAAGCTCATCTTCTGCCTCAGTGGACACACATTGCTTAGCATTTCTATGTGCACATACACACATAGGATACATACTCAACCATGGAAGAGGGGATGCAGGTGGATATTGGTTTTGCACAGGACATGGTGTCTGCTGGCTTTTGATGAGACTGAGGCGGCTGAAGGATTCATATGTATGCATGTAGACAATAATAGAAACAACAGTGACAATACTTCAAATTACCTACCACACACATATGTACACACACACACCCCAGGCTCTTTATCCTCTGATGGAAGTTTTACGTAACCTTCTGCAAAACAACAAAAAAAAAACGTAGAAGCCAATAATCCAGATTAAGCAAATTCATGATCAAATTACCAAAGCCTACTTTCAAATGCAATTTGGAAAAAAAGGACAAAGAAATCACTGGCGGGCTTGAAGGCAGGCAATTTCATCCGTAGCTTCAGCTGCTTTCTTCTTAATCACTTCCTTTTCTTCAGGAAAACAATGTAGCAGCCTCATGGTGTTTGTATCGAACTGTTTGCATTGCCACGGCCGTTTAGGTGCTATTTGTGGATAATTGGAGGTGTATGTCACCCATGCAATCTAACACCAGCTGCCCATGCTGCCTGCCACCTAGTGAGAAGGTATTATCTTGAGAGGAATCAGATATTGCTCACAGACAGGAGTGCGAAGTCTCAAAGGTGTGCTTTCCAAGATGTTAAATAAAATGCAGGGACACAAGGAGAGCAGAGCTCGCTCCAGGCAAATCCATAAAAATGAAGTACCTCTGTACTGTTGCAGTGGTTGTTGGGACATTTAAATCCATTCAGCCATTTTCCTCCATCTATTATCCAGGTCGCAGGGATGCATTAGAATGCAGAGACTTTTCTTTTGAGAAAAAAAAGCGAGAATAAAAGGAGTGTTCATATCGAGTTATGCTGGGGGAGCTATAGATTATACGCTGACAGAAAAACAGCTCGAACTGAAACACACTATAATTGAATAATAATTGGTATGGGGTTTGAATGTGCATCGCAGACGTCGATCAGAAAGCTTGCGAGTTGGCTAGTTTAGGATAACAATGATCTTGATACATTATTATATTTCTGCTCTTTAGTGTGGCTGCATGTCAATAGTTAGCACATCATGCTGTTGCCGGTAGGTTCTGGTAGGTTTTGCACAGGTCTGTTTCAGATTGGTGTGTTCCGTATGAAACCCATATGAACAGTCCAGCTTCTTTCATCATTCTTGATAATCTTCAGTCTTCAATCACGCCAGATTGACTGCTCATTTTAAAAACTAAACCTTTACTTGTCTGGTCAGGTGTCCAGGTTGCATTAGATCTGAGCACAGTGCTTGCAAGCCAGCAGGGGTGATGATGATGCTGATTTGAGCTTGTGGAGCGAGCAGAGCACTGTCCTCTGCAGGTGTGTGTTTGATTCTGACATCAGCAGCCCGACTATGACTCACCTACATGAATAAAAGCCACATGGCTGCCAGCGCTGTTTGAAACAGAGCCAAAGTAAAGCCAAGGCTGTGATTGCCCATTTTCAGCAGACCGCTGGGAGCGTTTGATTTCAAAGGCCTCCTCTTGTCTCTGATATAATTAGAGGGAGAAGTTGACGTCCATTTAGCAGATTCATTCGGATTATTAGTAGAATTAAGCCTTTAATTAGACCCGACATTTCACTCGAGAGCTTTGCTTAAAAAATAATAACACTGATGTTAATGCTCTGTAGAAATTTATACCGTGCATGCTTCCAGACTGAATACAGTCAGGCATTACAATGTTTAATTTCAATGTTTTTAACACATGAAGTGTATAATTAATATATGTGTCCCTGACAAAATAGTTTTCAATCAAATCAACACTTTACTTGATAAATGTAGCTCCCAGGTTATTGAGTAATACGGAAGAACAAACCATGCTTAAGGGATTTAAATGAAGATAAATGAATTCAACCAAATCTGCAATGAACTTCAGTCAAAAATCTATGCAGAGGATTTAAAAAAAGAACAGAGGTAATGCATTTTAGTTTTCCCCTTACACCCTGAATCATTGTGTATTTACTGAGGAACTGGATTCTGACAGCAAGTGTTTTGATAAAGATGTTCTCGGTCATTTTAGGTTATTCATGCACTCGTCGTCTCTCTGATTAGGAGTCTGATTATGAACCTGTGATGTGATTACTAAAATGCACACGGTAATCATTTGAGTAGAAGTATACTTCATAACACTCTTTGTAATGCAACTCTCAGGAGAGCACACGTTTGTGATCCCATCCCCATAAAAAAAACTTTTATCCAGAAAATGAATTATGTACCAGTATGACTTTTGACAAATCAAAGCTTACTGTGTTGTTCGACTCCTTTTAAATGTTTCAGACGTAGGTGTGTGGGCGAGTGTGTGTATGTCCTGCAGGTTGTGTTTCAGTGTGAAGTTTGAGTTACCCTTCACATACTCTATTTTCAGTTTATGACTCTAATCAGCATTACACAAATGAGCATTTTTCACACTTTGCCTATCAAGGACCTAAATAACTTGTGATCACACACTTAACAATGAATTCTCCATCTCTACGACTCTTTATCCTTTCCCCCAGTCTGCCTTTAGGTAAACAATCAAACACAATCACGTACAAAACTAATTTATTTGGTTAGAGATGTTTTGCAACGGGCAGCTATGGTTTGTAGTTCTAACATTTTCATTTAATAGATTTTCTGAGCAATCATTCCAAATGATTGCGAAAAGCAAGTGCATAATAAATGATTTATTAACCGTAACGTGTTCTTTACATCCACGTCAAATGTAAAGTTTGTAGCCCTTTTTATTCCTTCATTTTAGGGGACAGAGAGTTATTGCATTAGTAATTATGAATATAAATAAGTCATCACATTAAATATTTGGTGTCAAATCCTTTGGAGTCCATGAAGGCCTGAGGGCTCTGAGTCACAGACATGAGCAGACTCTTCACTGGTAACGCTCTGCTAGGCCTGCACTGCAGACAGCCTCACTGCTTGCTTGTTTTTGGGGATTTTTGTTTAAAGTCTGATCTTCATTAGGTTAAGCATGTTAAATTCAGTTCAGACGAGGTCCTGCTGCATCATCTTACAATTGTTCACCCAAAATGGATGTGAACACCTTCAACCATCATTAAATCACTTTAACCTTACACTCAATGTTAAATCCAGTGTGCTACACTGCAGCACCAAAACATATGGATCAATAGTTTTGAAGTATTGTATGGCTGAGAAGGACAATATCACTTTCATGTCTGTTTGATAAATATAGCGCTTAGATTTGTTGAGCATAGAATAAAGAGAGGTAACATGGGGAAAGAGTTAGTCTGGCTCTGTCCAAAGGTAACAAAAGCAGTGTGTGTCTGAATGTATATCTTGTTTATTTAATTCATACAAAAACCAGTGCGTAATATTGACATTTATGGATTTGCGGCGAGTTATTTGCAGGACTATTTCTTGTTCGGGTGCAATGTTTCTTTGGACAGAGCTACCTTTCCCTGCCTCCAGGCTTTATGCTAGGCTGAGCTAACCAGCTAATAAGCGTATTTACCAAAATGTCAAATTATTGCTTTATTCATCTGTCTACGTGTAGATTTCAGATGACTATTATTGTATTTTATCAGTTCAGCATATTACTTTCAAAGCCAAGCTATGAACTGCGAATCAATCATTCAGTAAATAAGTGATCATCCAAACTGCGTTATGTCAGAGGTGGTGGTGACTCATTTAACCTGACTTCTACTCGGGTAAAAGAGGCTCAGGTGTTGCTCAGCATCACTGTATCTTCTCCCCTGCAGGTACATGGCCATCATCCACCCTCTGCAGCAGCGCATGTCCTCCACAGAGACCAAGGTGGTGGTGGGAGTGATCTGGGTGCTGGCTCTGCTCTTGGCATTCCCTCAGTACTACTACTCCAACACGGACCAGTACCCCGGCCGGGTGGTGTGCTACATTGACTGGCCCAAATACACCGTGTGGGACTTCAAAAAGATGTGAGTGTCTCTGTGGAACAGCTATTCACATAGTCAACAAGCACCGTTAATTGCTTTTGAATTGATAGCAAATGTGGGAGGATGTTGTTTGTATTAAGTTTAAATTAGAGAGCGTGCCGAAAAAGCACGGAAGCTTTTTGTGCTTTGTCATGAATAAATTGAAGGCACATCAGAGGGGATTTGTGTTCTCCCTTTACTGAAAGGCAAATGAGTCGAGTTGGAAAGGAGAGAAGAACAATTAGATTGTATTGAAGCCTTCACCATTCATTTTCAATTCGTAATTCTACTGGAAGACATGGATGCTTTTCAAGAACCATTTACCAGGTGCTTCACAAAGCAAAACATTTCAAGACATGAAAACAGGACAATTGAGTCAATCATAATAAATGTATAAAGCCATTTTAAGGAATAAAAAGACAGTATAAACTATTTTAGTTTTCAACATTGTATCAGAAAAGCTGAAAAGTGTTTTCTTTTCTTTTCACTTCTTTGTAAATCAGAGCCCTTCAGGTCAAAGCTGAGAGCTATGATTCCCACTACGTTCAGCTTTTCACACTCATGTTAACTCACTAACATGCGTCCATGGCTTTTAAGCTGCATAAAAAAAACTCAAGTCAGACACTATTCAACACACAAACCTTGTCTCCCAACACCAAAACATAATTTGATTTATGTAAAGGAGCCTCCTGAGAACAGAGAGCTTGCCCAGCTGGCCTAGCTGTTCATCAAACCACAACAGTTCAAGGTCGGTTTTGGAGGAATGTTTACTTGTACCTTTGATTCCACGATTTTATAAAAGCCAGCCGTGCGACTTTGCAATTTTGTCTTGATTCTCTCAAAGAAAGAGCCTGTTCAAGCAGCCCCTTGTGTAGGAAATACAGACCCTGATTTTATAGTTAGTCCTTTGAATTGCTCCAGATTTAGTGAGTTAAGCCAGAGGGCTGCACAGAGTGCAAATTTCTAAACTGTAGTAGACAGTGAGGGGATTTCACTGCTGAGGCATACGGAGGGTTTTTCTGTTCCAGAGTCATGCAGGGTCAAAGCCTGATCTTCTACTGTGTATTCAACAGCTCAATGTATCCCTTGGTTTACAGTTTAGAGATTAAAGGTGAGAACAGAGAAACTTTCCCCTGATAAAAAGCCTTAGTTTCAAATTCTGCACATACATTATTCTGCACAGTGAAGCTCAAACATCCATAAGTTACACTAAGCTACACATTTTGACTTTTGACTTGATTTGATTGACCAAAGCCACAAACAGAAGATCAGCACAGTGAACTCTGTGCAAGTTCACATGGGTGGCAACCGCTTTATGCCCGTACTGCCTTGATGGAACCTGCTTCACCTCTGCCGCCTTACCCTCGTTGAAACGACTGGAGGCAAAGCGTTAACGCGCAGTGACGGGAAGCCCCTTAAGTATTAATTTTCCCATGGGCTCCTTTTGAGGACATATCATTTTAAAATCAGAGTGCCATGGAGGTTTGGCGAGAAGCTTGCCAGACACCATTTGAATTACTGTGATACAGCAGGTTAGTGAAGATCAAAACATGCACAAAGAACGATTTACGGGCACTATGTGAAACTGGTCTGACTGGTCAGTGACAGTCAGGGTTGACTGTTCACCTTTCCTCCAGATATCATCTTTCTTTAGGCTGCTAAAATAGAACCAAAGCCATATTCATATCATACCAGTGACTACCCCTCGTGGCAAATCATTTTAACACTGTCTTTTCCTCATGCAGAGGAAATAGCTAAAGCTGTCATTGCTGCTGAAGTGCACCTATTCCATCTCCCCTCACCCCATGATCTACGATCAAAGAGAATGTGAGAAATGTATGGTTGTGCAAATGCTGGTGTTAATCTTCTCCTTGCACATCCTGGAACCTTGCTGTGCTAGACAAAGTTCTGAAGCTGCTTTAAAAACATAAATGAAGCATGCCTGACAGTGATTTATTCACACTTTGCGCCACCCCGGTAACTCCAATTTCTTTCATTTGTCTTTTTGTAATCCCACTGGCATAACTAGCCGACACACATATGAAGGCACGAACACAGGTACCGTCCCATAAATGTGCACACAAGAAGAGTTCAGCGAACACAGAAAAACACCCACGCAATGACGCACATATGCAGGCACTCAGACACACAGCAAAGGGCTCTGATCACAGCTCTGCTGATGGCAACATCTCATCAGCAACAGTGTTTACCCTGCTCTGCTGCCAGCGTGCTATTGCCTTCCCCTTCTACTGCCTCTGTCACATTTCTCCATGGAAATATAGTTTGGTATGAACAGCGTAACAGCAATTTCAATGTTCATTAAGGGGTGCCAGCTGCAGTCATTACTTTTTTAATGAAACTGTAATAAGGGACACATTGGAGCTGAGTGAGAAAGCAGTAGTCATTCAGCTCAGCTGCTGAAGCTGTAAATGACATCTGATTAAGGCTGACCCCTGGTCAGATCCCACATGTCTTTCTTTCCGGGCGTTGTCCCGCTGCCGCTATTACAGTCACCCTGTCTGATGGCATGACTTCCTGCCTTTCCTGTTGGTGGAAATTAGTGAGTAAGGTGTCATGGGAGAGTATTAATAGATGACATTGTTTGTGAATGCACGCTTATTTAGATAACTGTTACGCCACCACTCACACCACACCCCCTTAACATTATCACCCCTGCACAAAGAGACACACACGCTTCTATGCAGTGAGCAGACGATTAGAAACCCTCCCATGCCCTCCTCTCACATTTGCACACGTCTCTATACTGAAGGCAAGGCAAGTTTATTTGTATAGCACATTTCAACAACAAGGTAATTCAAAGTGCTTCACATAAAGCCATTAAAAGCAACAAAACATAAGGCAAAAGAAAAGGAGATTTAAAAACAATTAAGAACATTCATTGAAACATTAAAACAGTCATTAAAACACTAAAAAGCAGTGTAAGAAATAAAATACAGTAGCAAAATGCAGGAAATTGATTAATATCCTTGAATCTGGTTCAATTAAAAGGCAGCAGCAAACAGAAAAGTCTTCAATTTTGATTTGAAGGAGCTGAGGGTCTCAGCAGACCTGCAGCTTTCTGGGACTTTGTTCCAGATATGTGGAGCAGAAAACCTGAACGCTGCTTCTCCATGTTTAGTTCTGACTCTGCTTTTAAAGCTTCCTGTCGGGGTGCATTAATTATCTAATGGTTTGAGGAACATGCAGGTGGATCATTGCAAATGACCTGGCAACCATGATTATAATATCCACTAAACTTATCTTAAGGATCTAGCAAAAGTACGCTAGGCTTGAAAAATTAAAAACACAGCACAGTGTTGCCAACTCTTTCCCGAGGAAAGTAGCGAGAAGCACTAGCTCCAAAAGTCTCAAAATCTAGCGAGAAAGTCAACAAGTTGGCCACACTGACAACCCGTTCCTTTAGGCCTCCCTCCAAAGCAACGCCCCCAAAATAAGCATAATGCATGTAAACAGCAAACATGGCTATTCTTAGTACTCACAGCTGTCTAGCTGGCAGCTTGTGGAATACTTTGGTGACGCGCAATTAGTGCATGGGAGAGTGCGTGCAGACAGGAAGGTAGATAGACAGGCAATCTTTTTTTAGCTTTGTCCTGTGCTCTCCTCCTAACCTTTAACCTTTCTCTAAGGTAAACCCTTGATCCAAGTTCTACTGCAAATAGTAAACGCACACCACATAACCCCATGAAATTCAGAATTAACAAATTGTGCTCAATTTGCAGAATCATCGTCATCTTTTCATCCTTGAGAATATTTGCTTCTCATAAGAAAAGAAATACAAGAACACCTCACAAAATAGATCTATGTGACGCTGACAAAAGACACACACACACACACACACACTCCAACTCACGCAGAGAGAGGAAATCTCAGTCTGAGCACACCTTGTCTCTGTGATCTCTCCTCACTAAATTGGGCTTCACACGACATGCGCCTGAGATTAGTGGCAGTAAGGCAGCGTGGAGCGAGGCGTCCTGTTACCTCGAGTATTCTTTTGCCTCGGCTGGCAGGCAAAGTCAATAGAACAGCTGCCCTTCCTCCCAACACACACATTCATTAATTATGTACAAACACCTACATGTTTAAATAAGCAGGAGCAATTGAATTATGCATGTAAATATGCATTTCCTTGAAATAACCTACACATTAATGCTCATATACTTTACAATAGATTTGGATCCAGTTCATTTTATGAGCTCAGCCAGCAACTCCTAATTGTTGCATTCATATTCATATTCACACTTGCTTGTTCACACACTCACAACAGCAGGAAATAAAGACTTTTGAAGCGTGTTAGTCCGCTGGGGGAGAGAAGAGGCAGCAGCACAAGAAATACACAAATATGTTACTGTGTGTGTAATTTGTCAGTGTGTATGTGGCCTCTGTTGAAGAAGTTTTATTGATTCAGCTTGTGTGACAGAAAGGTGACATAGTACAGCTTCTATTCCCTAAAGCGTCATCCATCAGTGGGAGCTAAGGGTCTGCTGGGAGAACTCTTACAAGGTAATTCATCATCTACAGTTGTTTTAAATGAAGAAACTTGTAATGTAAGAAATTGTGTGCACCAGCATTTCAGGCTGTATTGGGTATTAACTAATAGTATGCAATCCAATATCCCGTTATATCATTTATCAGCTAATTTACGCTACACAGGAACGACAAAAACACGTGTCACTCGATACCCAGTCCGTACATCTTGCCCGATTGGTATTGCACATGTGCAACTCTCAACAGAGAATTTGTATTACATACGGGCACAGCTTTAGGTTTTCTAAAACATGAAAGAATTCAGGCAATGCGAATGTTTGTCATTTTATTGAAATTATAAAAGGAGCTTATGCATAACCAGTCCGAAAACATTTACATTATGTGTGTAGGCTGTTCAACCGCGGCAGCGAGATTATTGCCAGTAACCCCAATATTAATACTCAAAACCACATACCTGCTGCCATAAGAATAGATCAATAGTACCCTGTGTACTGCAT